CCCCCCCCCCCCCCCCCCCCTCTGACACGCACACACACAGACGTGCTGTCCATCCCATCACACACACAGGGTGCGGCGCGTGTGCCCCTCGCCCCTCTGTATGGTGGCGGCGCCAACATCCGTGTAAGATGGCCGAATGAACACCGAATCAGTTAACCCTATCTATGTGTGTGCGATTGCATGTGTGTGTGTGTGTATGTGTGTGCAGTCTGCGAGCGACCAGGTCATGGACGATGGCTTCGACTACCGCGCGGCAAACAACATGTCCACGTAAGATAAGAAACCAACCAGACAGACACAACACCGTACGTGGATCCATCCATCCAGCCAGCCAGCCAGCCAGCCAGATGATGTGGGTGTCTATGTGTGATTGTACATCAGCAGCAGTGGTGGGGGCCAGGGAGGGGGTGTGGTGCTGGAGCCTGCACCGCGCTCCACTTATCAGCAGCAGCAGCATCACGACGGCCCATCGGGGGCCGGGGGCAAGGGAGGGGCCCACATCACACCCGTCAAAACTTACGAAGGAAGTAAGCCAAGCCACTTGATCTTCACCAGCGCCAGCACCAGCACCATGACACAGGCGCAAATCAATCAATGCCGCCCTGTGTGTGTGTGTGTGCATGGCATGTGATCTGCAGGTGTGGGTGTGGGTGTAGGAGTCGGTGTGGGTGGGGCCGTGGGTGGCCCGCCGACCAACGGCGGTCACTGCAACGGCAGCGGCAGCGCTGCCACCAGCACTAGCGAACAGAGCCAAACAAGCGAGGGCCGCTTCTTCACCAACATGATGGCTCACACGTAGGCAAGGGACGCGCGCAGACAGACAGACAGACAGACAGACAGAAGGTACCAGTCAAACGCATTGCACGTTCCTTCATGTGTGTGGTGCAGTAGCATGCGTGTGTTGACGACGCCCCAGACGTTCAACGTGGAGATCAGCCTGCCCAAGAGCCAAGTCGACTTCCTCTGCTGTGTGTACTCACATAACATAACACACACTCATCCACCAGCCTAACCGTGTGTGTGTGTGTGTGTGTATGAAGCTGGTCGCGGCTATGCGATGAACAACATCTCCGACCGTTCTGGGTGCGTCATAGCTGTGGGCTACGACGTCCCCAACCAGCAAAACCGCACAGTCACTCTTACAGGTACACACACCCACACACACACACACACAGAAGGCGCTTCCTTTATCCTATACATCTTCCTGCCCCTGCCTGTGTCTGTGTCTGTGTCTGTGTGGTGTTGTGTGTCAGGTACCCCACTGGCCAACGCCACGGCGTTGCTGTTGATACAGGAGAAGCTCATGGAACTCAGATAGATAAGTAGACTGACTTATAGACAGACACAGAGAGGGAGGGGGGCAGGCTAGTTAGCTCGGCGTGTCGTATGCTAGAAGGGTGGGCGGGTGGGCGGCCCGGCGTCTCTGTCTGTCTGTCTGTCTGTCCGTAGGATTTGGCCTTTTCTCTCTTGTTTCTCTTCTTTACCTCCTCCCTCTTGCTTTGGCGTGTGTGTGTCTGTGTGTATGTGTGTGCGGTGTGTCGACTGACACGCACCTCGGGGGTTGGGGGGGGGGTTGCTTAGTGGTCGCCTTGCCAGCGGTTAGACCGAGGAGGGCCCAGCCATCTGGCGGACAGGACAGAGATGCATGGCTGCCTTCGTGCGTGCCTCTTCGTTCGTCTGTCTCTCTCTGTCTGTCTGTCTGTCTGTCTGTCTCGTGTGTATATCGAGCGCACCGAATGATTTCCCCCCTCTTTCTCCCCCTGTCTGTCTGCCTTCCTGCCTCCCCCGCCTACAGAGCCGCCCCTTCCCCTCCCGCCACTCCCTGTGATGAATGTGTGGCTTTCTTTCATTCAGCAGCTGGCAGGGAGGCCGGGAAGTGTGCCTGCATTTGGCGCCTCCCTCCCGAGTGCAGGCATTAGTGCCATGCGTATGGGTATGTATTTTTGCGTGGGGGGCTGGAGGCGACCAGCGACTGACTTGTGTAGCTATCTATGGGTTTGTATGCCATGCATCTCTCTGACTGTCTTTCTCTCTCCTCTGTGGCGACTGACTAACTGCATTGATCGATCTGTATGTGTCAGTGCATCTGGCAGGGCCGTGCCGTGCGTGAGTGAGTGAGTGAGTGAATGGCGAGGGGCGGGTAGGTGGTGGGCTGACTGGCCGCTGTGTGTACCTTCATGTGAGCCCGAGTGTAAGGGACTTGACGCGCATGCGCCTTGGTAGAATAAACGTCACTTGCAAGTGGGTGTGTGTGGGTGTATATCTGCCGTCTGCTGCTGCACACGCACACGCACAATACGCAAACCCCACGCTTAATCAGGCCTCAATGAGCACGCCAGCCGGCCCTCCAGCGCCTGCAATGGGAAAGAGCCTTTCGAAGCGATCGCCTGTGCGAGCTTAGAGGCGCAAGAGAGGAAGCGGAGAGACCAAACGCACAGATCAGCAGCAGAGAGGGATGAAGGAAGACGACTCGCGGCAGGGCCCTGCTCCCACTTTTCTGTTTGCAGTGGTCGCAGCGCTCTTCGCCTCCATCTTCCTCGCCCTTCTCCTCCTCGACGTGGCTTGGCCCTTCGAGCTGCCGCCACTCATGCGGTCCGCCACATCTCCGCCATGCACACGTGTGAGGACCGCCGCAGCCTCGACGCCCGTGCTGCCGATAGTTGGGCCGGGCCATGTGCTGCGGCGACCAGCAAACACCACTTGGGTGCCGGTTGTGGTTGCCCCAACATCCGAGCAGCTGAGTGATTACAGGACCAAGGTGGCGCTTGTGTGGAGTTTTATGGAGTCGACGGGCAGCCGGGAGGCGTTCCCTTTGCTCATGAACTACCTCGGGCTGCAGAACACAGGTACGCACTCATGGGAATCCATCCATCCATCCATTCAGTGGACCATTACGTCACGTCACGGTGCGTATGTGCCCCTCCCTTGTTTGCAAGGGTCTGGCGGTGAGGTGGGAGTGGGCGACTTTTCATACAGCGACAGAATGCTCAGGCTATGGTGGGTGGGTATCCAAGGACAGACAGTATGGCCGATGTGCGCTGTACTCTCTCTCTCTCTGTGTCTGTGTGTGTGTGTTCAAGGAAGCCCAACTACTGGACGGCTGTGGACATCCTTAAGCCTGCAGTATATATGAAGCGAGCCGAGTCGTTTGTGCGCCACCAGTTCAAGTAGCTACCTACACAAGAGACAGCAGGCTCCACTAGTTATATTGACACAGATGGAAGGATTGACGGGCGTCATTCTTGTGTCGGTGTGCCATCCATCAGTGTATCGCTCACACTGCACCAGGGCAAAAGCTGGAAAGGTGAGGTGGGGCTGAATGGCATGGGCCCATTCACAGACAGGGCACACGTGAGACCTTCGCTTGTCGCTCTCTCTTTTGTCGCCACCAGTCGCTGGCAAGCTGGGGGAGGGGAGCTTTGACTTCCTGTACATCGACGGTGGGAAGGAATGGCAAGAAAGGATGGATGGATGGATGGATGTGCATGCCGCGTCTTCACAACTCGTTCAGCGAGCCATCAGTACAAGTCCGTCAAGAAGGACCTCAAGGTAAGGTAGGTAGGCTCAGCTGTCTCATAAGCTCATGAATCCCCCGCTGCACGCATCAGTTGCGCTGCATTGCCTGCCCCCTGACTGACCGGCTGCAATGTGTCACGTCGTGTGTGACCGCACTGCAGGCGTACTTTCCCAAGATCAAGCCAGGGGGCATCCTTGCTGGACACGACTTCTGTGGCACGTGAGGTTTCAGACATGTCCAGACAGACACTCCTACAAGACATGCTGACGGATGCGTCTTTTGCAGGAAGAAAAAGAGGTCGCTGCACATGAGTGGCGAGCAGATCGACGTGCCGTGGTGCGGCAGATACAGCATCAAATCACACTCGAAACGGTGGGAGGGAGGGTTGGTGAGGCGAGCCATCCATCCGTCCACCTACCCACATGCAGAGACATCAACAATCGCCGGTTGATGTGTGGATTGTGATGGTTTGTGTGTTTCGTGTGTGTGTGCGTCTGACATACCCAGGTGGAGCAAGATGGGCAAGGAGGTCCACAACCAGATCGGAGTCGTCCGCGCCATTCTGGAGTTTGCAAGAGGTGGGTGTGGGGAGTTTCCGTGTTTTGCTCTTTCTACATACTGTCGTGACTTTGTTTCCCTCTAATGTTGTCGTTGACAGCGGAGGGCATCAGTGTTGACTTCACGCGAGAGGACCAGCGGCCGAACGACCTGTACAGCGACCATGGTGGCCCCGCGCCACACCTCAACCCGTCATGGTATCTGTTGAAGCCATGGTGAGTTGATATCAACTGCCTGTCTGTCTCGGGTGCTTGGGTGCATGTGTGTGACCTTCCGTCCGTGTGTGAATGAGTGTGTGCATACAGTCCATTCGCTCAGCGACGCAACCAGCAGTATCCATCCACTTTTCATGCCAGCCAGATGGCCATCACTCACTCACCGTGGCCCACGCATCCGTCCATTGGAGAATGAAGGCACACCCACCCACTCACGCACGAAAGCACATTTGGGTGTCTGTCTATACAGCAGCAGCCGTCACGCTCAACACATTATCACATTCACGCAGCTCAGCTCGCCTCACTCATCCAGGTGCCCGTACAGGCGGCAGAGTAAAGTCCGTCATGCTGACGACCTTGATGGCGCTCAGCTCTCGGACGGTCTTGTCCCTCTCGCCCAGCGGCATGTCCACCCGATACACGGCCTCGTACGACTCGTCCAGAGAGCCCTCGTGCAGACTGTACAACAGAATGTTCTGACGGGGGTGCCACCTACACACACACACACACACACGCAAATGCGCGAATGCGGGCGTGTTGTGTTCTGCGTTTAGTCCCTCACTTGCATTTGGTGATGTGCGTGTGTTCCTTGCCGGGGGCCCAGCTGTGGACGAGCACGTCCGTGTCGACGCCCCAGATGAAGACCATCTGGTCGTACGGACCCCCCAGTGCCAGCAGACTGCCGTCATGATTCACCGACAAAGTGCCGATGCTCTACACACACACATACACACATAGAGGGAGGGAGAAAAGACGATGTGCGGCTCTCTCTCCGTCCTTGTGTCAGCCCCACCCCTCCACCCACCCCAGTGGAGCATGCGATTGTCTTGGGGCAAGTCATTGTCTGCAGGTCCCACAGCTCCACCAGCCCATCGTCATAGCCGCAGGCCATCCACTCGCCTCCGGGGTCGGCCGCCAGCGTCGTGACGGCGCTCGTCTCGTCCGTCTGACGCAGAATGGCGCCGCCCTTGGACAGGTGCACGCGCTGCTCGCCAGGGAGGGGCTGACCGCGGTAGACCTCCAGGTAGCTCTGGGAGGCCACAAACAGATACTCGCCAAGAGAGTCGTAGGCAAGGGCCTCAATCTATGCAGAGAAAAGACAAAGGGGAGCCTGCGTTGCATCCATTGGGGTGCGTGTGTGTGTGTATGTATGTGTGTGTATGTCCTGACTGAGTTGTTGCCGTATTTCTTGTCTGATGCTGGGATGGGCCGCGAGGCCAGCCGGATGTCGTAGATCTGCACACACAGCAACGATCCAACCACACCTACCTACCTTTGCCGTCGTCCCATCCTCCCCCGTACCGTACCGTCAGTTTGTCCCTGCTGTCTGCGATTGCCAGGACGGTTCCATCTGGCCGCCATGCCAGCCGCTGAGGCCAATCGTCACGCATCTCAGCCTGCAGTGGACACACGACATACGGGTGTTCCCTTGTCTCCATAATTGCGTTGTGCCTGATTACCCTGCCGAGCTCCTTGGCCTTTGCCACGGCCGGTGTTCTGATGGGCTGGGTGGTGCGGGCGGGGCTGCCGGTGGCCGACGGGCCGCTCCTCGGATCAACACGAATGTCCTGAAAATGACAAGCAACACACACAGAGAGAGAGAGAGAGAGAGAGGGAGGGAGCGCATTGGGCTGTCGTGATTTGGCGTGTGCGTGTGCGTGTGCGTGTGGGTGACGTATGTACATACATAAATGGCGAGTTTTCTGTTGCTTCTGTGTCCGAGCGCGAATATGTGGTCCTGCTTGGGGTTGGCAGCCGCACACTCGTACTTGTCGTCGTCGGACGACACCTCACACGCCACTTCAAAGTCGTGAGTCGACTGACACACACACACACACACACACACATAAAAGGCAAGCGATGTGAGAGCCTAAAGCACATCTGTGAGTGGGTGCATGAGTGAGGGTGTCCCACCCCACCCACCTCACCTGCTGCGGTGCTGTTTTGCAAACCCAGACCTTCTCACGACAACACACAATGAAATAATCACCTGCACGTGAGATGCATAGGGAGCGCACACCGCCGACACACAACAAGGAAGGACACACAGGCATACAAATCAGATCTGATGTGTGCGCCTCTCTCTCGGCGGCTCACCCGATGAGCTCCAATCGAGGCTCCGCACGCCCAGACCCTTCCGAGTCTGAATGACCACACACAGACACACAGATACGTGCGATCGATGGTGATGTCACATCAATCACATCGCCACGGCAGGCAGTCATCACCTCTGCCGCTCGCCTCGGCGGCGTCCATCTGGTATCTCTGAGGCCGAACTCTTGGAACTCCTGCTTCTGCTGTAGCTCAAAGGTGCGGCGCTGCGACAGATACGCCGCCAGCACGGCAGGGTCGGACGGCACTGAAGCGGACAAACAAACAGAGCATCAGGGATATCCCTCTGAGTCATGGACGCTCACCTTGATACCGCTTTGTGACCAGCTGTGTGATGTCTGAGCCCGTCACTGACGACATCTCAGCGACGCAGAGCTCAGGGAAGGCTGTCAGTCAGTCAGACCAGCATCTGACCGACCTGCGGGAAGATCGCTGACAGATCTGCTGTCGTGTGTGGCGAAATGAGCAGACGGGGGTGATGGAAAGGGCCACAAACACACGAGGGAGCCTTCCGCGCAGCGGATTTCAAAAGTCCGGTGAGACTGAATCGAACAGCCGACCATCTGATATCCCCGCAGCTACAGTCAGACGCTCTACCAACTGAGCTATCACCGGATTGTGAGATGCAGGGGTCATGAAGGTATGTAGGCAGCACAGCACATCCCCTGCACCTTTAGAGCCCTGTTTCTCAAGTTCTGGGACGAGTGGAGGAGCGATGACTCACTGAGACGCCCAAGTCTCACTAAACACGGAGATCTAAGCTTCCCCCTGTCAGGCCGCCTAGGGTGCTCCCTGAAACTGCTGCAGGCCTTCAAGTGCAGAAATGGACGACCTATTGCTTCACGTGTTTGTGATAGCGCCAGCCATCCGGTGGCTCATCTCACCGCAGAGACCATGGGACAAACGATTAGGTCACAGACACAGATCATCAGCAACCAGGAGGCCTGAAGATGAGATGCATGACTAACTGTCTGCCTGCCGTGTGTTCAGGTGTGATCATGGCCATCACTGCCTTGGGCGCCATCGCCGTCTATCAGGTTCGTTCGCTCGCTGATCTTTCCGCGCACATGACACATCAAGCACTGCTCACTGTGTGTGTGCTTTCTGCTCTCCTGGTTGATTGGTCAGTGTCAGCGGGAGGAGTCGAATCACTATGATGTGTTGGGCGTGTCGCCATTCGCCACCAAGGCCGAGATACAGACCGCTTACAGGCGGCTCTCACTCCAGTACCACCCTGTACGGCTGCAGCACACGCACCACCACATGGACCATCGATGTGTGCGCGTGTGTGTGTGTGTGTGTGTGGACAGGACAAGCACTCCGACCCGAAGGACAAGGACAAGGCCGTCAAGACATTCAACAAAATCAGAGACGTACGTCGAACAAGCAGCAAGGCACACAGGCATGGTGCACCCGGCGATGGACGGCTGTGTGTGTGCGTGCAGGCTCAGGAGGTGTTGAAGGATGACAAGAAGAGGCGGACGTACGGCCGGTTCGGTGACTTCAACAGTAAGACCGCATGTACGCAAACACGCAGCCAGCCAGCCGTGGACACACACACGTCACGTGGGGATGATTACACAATGTCGACGGCCGAACGTCCAAATGCATACACACACACGTGCAGTGCAGTGGAGTGCAGCGGACGCTGACTGACATCTACGCATGCTAGCTACTAGACATGACCACTACACAGACAGACAGACAGCAGACAGACAGAGGTGCATCAGGTGTGTGTGTGTGTGTGTGCGTGCAGCTGAGATTGACGACCGTCACTTCTTCGACGTGGTTGTGGTTGCGCTCCTCCACGGCCTCATCTCGTTCCTCTTCGGCTTCCTGTACACCTTCTCCAAAGAGACTCAAGTGGCCAGACAAGTATGTAGGCAAGTCACTTTGACACACCACAGGGCGGCAGACACAGCACATCAGTCAGCTGAGGAGGGACATCTCATCTGCCGGCGATTTGTTTGTCTGTCTGTCTGTTCGTGACGTCAGGTGTTCCTGAGCTACCTGTTGGTGGCCTTTTGTCTGGACCTGCAGCTGCGGTTCGGCGGGCCTAAGAGTGACGAGTTCCTCTGGTGGATCCCCGCATTCGGAAGATACCTCGTATTCGAGAAGATCAAAGTAAGCATGCCGGCCCCTCACACACAGTCTCATGGTTCGTCCCTGTCATCTCTTTCTCTCTCTCTCTGTTTTTGTTTGTCTCTTTGCGTGTTGCCTGCAGGTGTTGCAGAAGCTGTCTCCCATCGTGTTGAATGGCTCCATCCTGATAGCGTCTGCCATGCACACTGACAAGGAGAGCGGCCTCGAGTTCCTCGGACGCACACTCCTGCACACAAACCTGGAAATCGTCAACAGGTTCATCCTAAACACACACAGTCATTGATTCCCTTCCTTCACTCACCTGTCTGTGTGCGTCCATCAGGATGGAGGCGACGATGGAGCGGTGTGGTGTGGCAGCGCTGCAGGACAACCCCCACGCCCTCAATGGACAGGCAGACACGGACAACGGATCACGACCGCCCGCCGAAACCGACATGCCATCAGCCACAAACGGATCACCAACAGAAGGCTTGCGTGACCGGAGGAGAGGGTCGCAGCAGCATCAACAACAGCAACACACACAAGAAGACACGTGTCCAGCACCAGCAGCAGCATCAGCCTCAGCCTCTGAGGGCAGGAGGGAGAGGGGGAGGGGCGGCAGCGACGCCTCTCATGCGATGACTGCCATGCTTGACACGCCGCCGCCCGGAATGGGTGTGTCGGCGACGGAGCTGTGTCAGTGGAGTGCGGATCAGGCCAGGGATCTGCAGGAATTCGTCAAGACAAGGGTCAGTCAGTCAGCACTGCACTGCACGACACACACAGAGCAGACAGATTGCAAGTGATGTATGTGCGAAAGGACAGACAGACTTGTGTGTGGGTGGGGTCTGTGTGTGTGTGTCTGTATGTGTGTGGCATAGGCTGAGCAGTCGAAGAGGGGCGGCATGTGGAGCATCGGCACCTTCATCTTCCTTGGCATACTCTTCTTCAAACTATTCCTCTCATGACAGACATGACCGAGTGAGTGCGTGTGGATGTGTGTGCTGACTGACTGACTGACTGATTTTTATCCATGACCTTTGTGTGTGTGTCTGTGTGTCTGACGTGCCTCCTCCACTTGACAATGTGTGGAGCCCAGCCACATGTCTATCAAGCGAACAGCCCCTTGCTCCATGTCATGAAAAGCCATTGAGAGAGCCATGATTGTCGCCCACAGTGCACACACAGCCATGGCATGTAGCGGCACATAAGCACCCACACACACTCATATATCAACACACCACACCCCTTTCCCCAGTGTCAGTCAGTCAGCAAGCCTGTCGTTCCACCCCACCCCACCCCACCCCATCTAAGCACTACACACGCCCAACGCCCCTCCCCTGTACACACCACACCCTCTATCGCCCTCATCCATCCATCCATCCATCCTACGGCCATGACAGCAGGCCAGGCCATCAATACCATCACTCGCTCCGATCAGACCGTCCGCTCCTTGTGCTGCTGCTGTCCTGCCGGCCCCCGCTCCTTGGCCGCCTTGAGGGCCGCCGCCTCCCTCCGCAGCTCCAGGACAATCCGAGCGAGTGCCTCCGGGTTGACGCCCTGCTCGCACAGGCACACCAGGATGGTCAGCTCGTCCCGGCTCAGCCCAGTGTTGAGCAGAGTCGCCATCTCGTGCAGAATGTCCATCACCTCGTCCGTATCACGGCTGGCCGAATCTGACATGATCTTTCCGCCGGAGTTGGATGGGTAAACACGGAACACTCGTGCTGGTGAGGGGTGTAGGAGGATCCAATGCTCTCCACCACAAAACAGCGGCGGAGGGATCGCTCTTGAGCTTGCAATCCCATTCGTTCTCTCCCCTCCGAGAGAACGAACGCGACACCGGCGATCTAAAACCGATACCGGTGTAGACAGATCTGTGTGTTGATCTTCGCCTTTGAGCAGTTGCAGCTGATCTATCAGCGATGGAGCCGTCTTCACTGCGCTTGTGGATGATGGCGCTGCTGGGCGCTGCTGCCCTCCTCAGCACAGCCTACGCGAGCCTCGAGGATCCCCACCCCTTCCCACACAAGGGCCCCTTCTTCGAGGTGACGTGACACAACACACAGCAGACAACAAGCTATCCATGTATGTCATTGATTGGTGCGCATCTGATCTGTGGTCTGATTCGATGCCTGCAGGGCTGGTACTTTCGCATCACCGTCCCTTCCCTCAACCAGTCGTTTGCGGCAGCCTTCGGCAATGTGCTGCCGGAGGGCGCCACCAAACACCCCGGTGCGACCTTTTCCCCATATACCAAAGACGGTGACCCGCCCGCGTACCTGGCGCTTCTGCACCAGCCCTCCCACCCCTCCCTCGCGGAGCCGCTGCAGCTGTATGACGCCTTCCCACCGATAGAGGGCGTGGCCATCACCCCACAGGCATCTGTCGACCCGCCGCTCACCACACCGTCTTCAATGAGGTGGTGCGGCAATGTGGGGTGCTTCTGGACCAAGGCAGATGGCGGCACGGGGCTGGTCAACTCGACCACTCATTTCTCCTTCTCTGCGGGTGAGGTGTCGTTGGAAGGCGACCTTGGTCAGCCGGTGCCTTGGAGCAGCAGCGGCAAGGGGCCGATGGGCTGGGCTGTCGGCTTGCCCGTGCCGATTAAGTGGTTTGTTTATAGCGTCGCGTCGCCTGTGCATCGGCTGAGGTGGACGGACTCGCGCGGCACTCAGGAGCTGACGGACGGATTTGTGCACTTGGAGAAGAACTGGGGCAAAGGTGAGGTGCAGTCCGCACGCACACGCGGACACGACACGACAGCTGAGATACTTACTTGGTGGTCTACGTGTGAAGCAATGGAATGTATCGCATCATCTGTATGTGACGTGACTGTATCAGGGTTCCCCACGCGGTACGTATGGGCGCAGTGCTACGACCCGTCCACTGAGGCCTACTTTGCCCTCTCCTTCGGCGGCCTCGGGCAAGACGACTCGGTGCCGTCACAATCGCCATCCAATGAATCTCTGTCCGATCCAGCGGTGCCTGTATTCCTTGTGGGCTTTCGAAATCCGAAAGAGGCCGTCGCGGTCGACTTCAGGCGCGACACGGCCGTCGTGACGGCCAGCCAAGTGGCGCCGGAAGCGGGATTCTTCACACGTAAGGACACCGCGGTTTAGGGTCGCATGTCTGTGAGTGCGTTGTTTGACTGGTGTGTGCATGGCTTGCAGTGAGTTTGCGAGGCATTAGTTTGGCGAGCAGTCTGCAGGTGACAGTTCGAGCTGAGCCGAGGAGCTTCAGCAAATGGCTCAGAGGACCGGTGCCCACCGGTCAGCCGCTGCAACCAACCACACAGACACACACATGCAGATGCGTTTATGTTGGCTCGTGTCTTGCTTCCAGGTTTCCGAAAGGAGAGCTTCCAGTCGTTCTCTGCAGATGCTCGCGTCGTCTACACGTAAAGACAGCACACACGAGTGCTCGTACTCCTGTCACGTCTGTCTGTATGTGTGTGTCAGGTCTGTCGGCCGTCGGATCCGCCCCCGGCGTCGTGGCAAGGTGGTCAGCCTCATGAGCGGCTGTGCCTTGGAGTTCGGCGGCACTTTCGCAGAGGCTCTCGCACCTCTCCCCCACGGGGGGGTGCCAGCCGCCATTGACTGCAAGGGCGTGTGGGGCGCATGGTCCGTGTGCGACAAAAACTGTGTCCGGCGGCGGACGTACCAGGTGCTCACGGAAGCACAGGGAGGGGGCAAGAAGTGCCTCCACGACGACGGCGACAGGGAGGCACAGCTGTGCACAGAGGAACAAGACTCTTCATGTGGAGAGGCAGGTGCGAACGAGGGAGGGATGGATCAATGCCAAGGCGACACACCTGAAGGGATTCCCGTCTGTCTGTCTGTCTGTCTGCGTGTCTGTCTGCAGCTGAGTGTGAGGGCCGATGGGGCGAGTGGGGCGAGTGCGACAGCCAATGCAGGAGGACCCGCAGGTTCACGTAAGCGCAGCGATACACACACATGCCATTGGCCTCCCTCGCCCGCCCGCACGTCCGTGCGTTCTCTCTGCAGAGTGGAGGGGAACTGCCCTTCCAAGCAGCAGACTGACCAAATGCAGGTGGCCACCTGCCCGCCAGACATGTGTCAAAGCACCAAGCCGTCAGGGGGTGACCAGTTCCTCCCCAAGAGCAGCCAGGAGGGCTCTGTCACTGTCGACCTCACACTCAACGTCCAATACGGAGAGGTCGGTGAAGACACTCCATCGACCCGCCCACCCACCCACCAATCCACCCGCACTTCTCTCTTCCCCCTTCTCTCTCTGTTTGTTCAGGTGGCCGATGTGGCCACTGTGTTCACAGACACCCTGTCGAATTGCCTCAGTCAACTGACAGAGGTGCCGCGGGAGCGTCTGTCCGTCGACATGGCCACCCCGCCCCTCTCTGAGGACAACGAGGAGGACAACGTGACTGTCGAGGTGGTCATTGCCAAGGGAGACCAGCCCTCTGCAGCCGATGTGCTGGCCAAGCTGCGGGAGAGGTACGCCGAGCGGCTGAGGATGGGCCGCTTTGGCAACGACGTGCGCATCATCGGGCTGGATGGGAAGGTGCAGGCCGCCCCTGCTGCAGGTGAGCAGAGATTGGGTTGGGAGAGGGCTGGATGTGATGTGGCCTGCCCGAAACGTGCTGATGTCTTCTGTCAGCATCAGTGGGGGAACCCGTCCCTGGCGATGGCGATTCGCCCGTGCTGCCGATCGGCCTGCCAGTGATATTCGGTAGGGCCAGCGGAGCACAGCTAGGCGACCAACACCCACAATGTTCTCTGTGTGTCCATGCAGGTGTTCTTTCAGCTTTCATCATCATGGTCGCCCTAGTCTGCGGGGGCTGGTGCATGTGCCGCCGGTGCAGAGGCAAGGAGCGCCTGCTGCAGTCCGCCGATGACTCATCTCCCGAGGCCTCACACAGCAGCGCCACTGGATCGACAGCGAGAAAGGTCAGAAATGCGTCATTATTAGAGATGTGGTGGAATGATCCGTGTGTCTCCCAGGCTGACATGAAGTCTTGCGGGGCGCCCCAGACTGGCCAGGGGTTTGGCTATGATGGAATGAAGGTGAGCAGGACATCCCTTACACGCACAGCCAGACGAGAGACACTGTGTGTCCATGAATGCTAGGACGAAGCTGAGGATATGGGTGGCGACATATCGCTGGGCGTGGCGCCCACCCCGACGAGCCAGACGCCCAGCAGCAGGTCGGTGGTGCCCGAGGACCTCACGGCCAACCACTGTAAGTGAAGCAATCCATCAGGCTTTCCACACACGGGACTTGTCCGTTCACATCGTGTTTGGTTTGCAGGAGCGTCGTAGGGATAATGTGATTGAGGGAGGCGTCGGGTCGGTCGCCCACTGCTGTCTGGTCTCTGTCGTTTTCTCTGTGTGTCCGAGCGTTTTGCGTTTTGCGGTGTGGTGCAAGTGTGTGTAGATCTATCTGTGGTGCTCGATACTTGTAGAGTAGACAGATGGGAAGGAAGGCGGCTGTGTGCGACTGCATGCCATTGTGTGTGTGTGTGTGTGCACATAATGTGTATGTCTGTTTGCAATACGCGAACTAATTGACTACGTACATCGCATCACGCCTCAGGCGGGATGTAACAGTGCAGATCACTTCAGCATTCCTGCAGCATTATTCTGCTGCATACGATACGTGCCTCTGTATAGTTGAGAAACCGCTTCTGGGTCAAAGGGTTTGTTACCCTATAGCCCCACGAGAGGCCAAAGTGGCGTTTGTGGGCCTTGTCGGACAGCTGTGCGTTGACCTCAGAGCCAAATGGAGCAGCCGATGCCAGTATCACCAGACACAATAAAGGAGCCCAGCAAGGCACCAGCAGCCGACATGTCAGCCTTCCTGCCATCAGCGGGCAGGCGCCTCTTCCTCGGGTGCGTCATCCTCTTTGCCCATCTGGTGCCGCTCTACTTCGCAAAATGGGACGTGCCGTTCCTGGACAGGCTGACAGATGGGCTGCCGAGTCCGCCGGGGCAGCCGGAGGTGCGGTTGGGGTGGCATTCGGTGCTGGGTCGGTTCAGCAAGTGGCAGATAGCCTTCTTTGGCAGCGTGTTGGTGCACCAGGTGGTGTACTTTGTGCACTGCCTGCCGGGGTTCTTGTACCAGTTCGTGCCGGTCATTCAGGACGGGTGGAAAATACAGGTCTGTGTGGTGTGCACATGTGGAGAGTTAGTGTTGTGTGAGTGAGTGTGTGTGTGTGTGTGTTGGGTGATGGCAGGGTGAGAAGAAGGAGACGTTTGCTTTGCAGTGGAAGTGCTTCAAGGTGCTCATGTTCAACCAGGTACTTACTCGGTCAGTGCACGTCTCAGATCTTGTCTGTCTGTCTGTCTGTCTGTTGGGTGTGCAGTTCATCATCCAGACGCCGTTGATTGCAGGCACCTACTTCTTCACCGAAATGTTCGGAATCCCATACGAATACGAAAGACTGCCAAAATGGTACGTGTGCTGATGAACTCGTGCCACACGTACTCGTGCCATCCTCTCTCCCTGTGTGTGTGTCTGTGTGCGCATTGCAGGTACCAGTTGGTTGCGCAGGTGTTGGGTTGTGCGGTAATCGAGGACACCTGGCACTACTTTTTGCACTCGTGGCTGCACAGCAAGGGCATGTACAAACTCATCCACAAAATGCACCACGAGTTCCAGGCACCTTTCGGCATGCAGGCAAGACAAGACAAGACAAGACCACCCACCACACACACACACACACACGTGTCTGTGTCGATGGGCGATGGATGGGGGGATGCGTGTGTGTTCGGCAGGCCGAGTATGCGCATCCTTTGGAGACTTTGATATTGGGCGGCGGGTTCTTCTTCGGCATATTGGTGTATTGCAACCACCTGGTGCTGCTCTGGGTCTGGGTCTTCTTCAGGCTGCAGGAAACTATCGAGGTAACACAGACAGACAGGGAGACAGACAGGCGGCCATGCAGACGGGAAACACGCAGGCGGCCATGATGTGCCTGTGTGTGTGTTAGGTGCACAGCGGCTATGATTTGCCGCTGTACGTCAACCCTTTTCACCTCATCCCATTCTACGGTACAGACACACACACACGCACACACGCGCACAGACACACAGACACACAGACACGCCAATCTTGCGTGTTTGTGGAGGAATGCGTGTGTGTATGGGTGCAGGTGGAGCCCGCTTCCACGACTTCCACCACATGAACTTCACCGGCAACTATGCCAGCACATTCACATGGTGAGTGACCACACGCCCGACACACACACTCACACACACACACACACACAGAGGGAGAGAGAGAGAGGGGGAGAGACCGACTTGGTTGTGCGTGTGGCCACTCAATATGCGTCTGTGTGTCTGTGTCTGAGTGTGTAGGTGGGATGAGCTCCTCGGCACTGACGTCCAGTACAAGAAGTACTACGCCACCCTACAAGACAAGAGGAAGAAAGCCGAATAGATAAAGCACTTGAAGTTTTGCCCCTCTCTCTAGCCGCCCGCCTGCCTGCCCGCTGTCCTGCAGTGAAGTCAACGCCCCATGCACGTCACGTCACGTTTTGTTCTGTATAGACCTCCCAGACAGTGAGTATTATTCCTGGTGGCCTGTTGTGCTGTGCTGTTCAGCACACACAGATACGCATCCTCATTCATGTGTTTCTCTGTTTCGTTTCTTCGTCGGTCTTTTGAGTTGCTTTGTCGTCGGACGTGGACGGATACACGAGTGTGTGGGTGTGGGTGTGGGTGTGCCTGCGTGTGTGTGCATGGGGCGCTTCGCAGAAGTGTGCACTCACCGCCATGCCATGCACACCCACACGCTCACCTCACACACCCCTCTATTCTATCGAATGCTGTCTGTGATCAGTTTTGCCCTCTGCACTGGTTCTTGTTCGTGGGGGATTCTCTGCTGGTTGACTGCTGTGTGCGACAAGACAGAGAAAGCTCTCTGCGGCTGCATGCATTTAGGAGGCGAACGGACAACGGCCACTCATGAGTCATCCCAGATTGGTGAGCAAAACACACGCATCGAAGGGTTTGTAGGGTATAGGGTTGCAAACCCCAGCACTATACCCTGCAAACCCCAAGCAAGATCTGCGGCCTTCCCTTCTTTTCTGGGTTGTTCGTTGTTCGTTCGTGCGGCTTCCCAGCTTCATCCTTGCTGCGGGAGCGCACCATCATCAGCATGCTGTCCATCGTTAAGAACAGGGTGGTCACCGATGTGTCCAAGCAGACAGTCGAAATCCGCAAGATGGAGCTGGACTGGTACGTCACCAACTTCGGCACCCTCGCCACACAGGCAACCGTCGTCGCGGGATTCTCATTCGGCCAGCTCACCATATCCATCCCCGAGAACGTCTCCCTGCCCGCTGAGATGATCTACATCATCCTCACCTCCATGGCCATGGCGCTGGAGCTGTATGTCACCACTGTCTGCACATTCGCCACCATCTGGGCGCCGGGCATTGCGCTGAGGGGCCCGTCGGGCTTCCGATCCGTTGCAAAGGCGATTGATGTACAAAGGCGATTGGGAGGGAGGGAGGCAGGGAGGGAGGGCTGATGTGCGGTTGTGTTTGGTATGGCGTCTGTGGTTGGCTGAATGCAGGTGCTTCGTCGTCAGCAGAACACGCTGCTGACGTGCTTCATGGCGGGGCTGGTGTGTTTCGTCTTGTCGAGCTTCATGGTGGTGCACATCTACGACACCAGCAGGCGGACGGCATGGGGCGCCACATGGCTCATATTCGGATTCCTCGCGATCATACTGTACTTCGCCGCCAGGCTCACAGCACGATTCTGGCACGACCGGTGAGTGCGCATGACCCCAACCCCCTCAACACACACATGATCGGTATCTCTCTCTCTCTCTCTCTGTGTGTGTGTGTGTGCGTGTGTGTGTGTGTTGTGCAGGGCGGCGGACAGTTCGATTCACCCCGTGGAACACTATTACGGCGAGGTTGGTGATCTCGACAGCACGACAGTGGTGCCAAAACCGCCAGGGAGGCGCCAGACGGTCGAGAGGGGTCAGGGGCCGCTGCAGGTGGAGATGGCGGCAGGGGGACTCGAGAGAATGGGTGTGGGTGTGGGTGTGGGGGGCCGGATGGACACGGTGCCTGAAGATGTGCCCATGTCTGGGTGGCAGGGGTAGGTAATTGAATTAGTGAGCTTTATCGAGGAGTGGTGTCTGTTTGTTGGTCAGTGCAGTGTGTGTACAGTTGAGGAGTGCCTTCCTTCTTCTGCATTGCATGCCATGTACACGTGAGTGAGTGAGTGAGTGCGTGGTTCGGTTCCATTTATATTACATGGTGGGTGGGTGGACCTTTCTTCTTTCTGCTTATCGACAGCTGTCTGTAAGGTAGCTAGACTTTTATGATACACATGTAACGCATAAATGTCCATCCATCCCTCGATCTGACGCCAGAAACACAGACAAGACATCAGTCGCCTTCCTCTCTGCGTCTATATGATCTGCCTTCACTAGAGCGGCAGGTCCTCAAACTCATGTTTCTCCGCCGACTTGGTGCTGCACACAAACAGACAGACAGACACACAGACAAACAAAATGGTTCATTCCTGTCGGTCTGCCGTCGTGCGGTGCGCGTGTGGCGTCATTACTGTGGTTCAAGGAAGGTCTCGCAGAGGACATGACCCATCGCACTCGCCACGTCCATTGCGGTCTCGCCTTGCTGCACACCCACACCCACACACACACACAAGCAGCCAACAAGACGTGTGCTCATGTTGTATGAATGGCCTGCCTGTCGCTTACGAAGTTGGTCAGGTTTGCGTCAGTGCCCTTGTCAATCAATACCTTCAGGCAGTCCAGCTCTCCATTCCTTGCTGCCTCATGCAAGGCCGTGTCGCCCCACTGCACACGTCCATCCATCCATCCATCCATCCATCCACCGCTGCGCTCTCTCTGTCACCTTGTCTTTGATGTTGAGTGAGGCCCCCCTGTCTGCGAGCAGCTGAAGGGTCTCGTCGTACCCACGACGCGCCGCAAGGATCGCCGCAGTGCTTCCTGACTGCACACATGCCATACGCAGACGGCCAGAAACACCTAGAGAAAGCTCTCTCTCTCTCTCTCTCTCTCTCTGTCAGCTTACATCGTTGACGAGGTCCATACTGGCCCCCCTGTCGAGCAGCAGCCTCACAGCGTCAATATTGCCACCCATCACGGCACATATCAGCGCAGTCGCCCCCCACCAGTCCTTGGTCTTGTCAATGTCCACCACATCCCTCTCCAAATAATCCTCAAGCGCCGCGACGTTGCCCTCCGTGGCCGCAAACAGATAGTTGAACGCGAAATCCTCTGGCACCTCCCCCTCTGCCCCAGGAGTCGATGCCCTTATCTCCGCCCGCCTGCGTGCATCCTCCTCAGCCACGACCGCGGCTCTCCTCCTCTGTATGAGAGCCAGAGTCTTGTCAAGCTGCAGCAGCTCTGCCTTGAGAGTCCGCCGCCTCTCCTCGGTCGCGTCTTCCTCTGACGCCAGCCTGTCCTGGTCGGTGCAATCCATGATATCCTTCTCACTCATGAAATCGGCAAGCCTCGTCGATGGCGGCTTGGGCTGTGCGCGGCGCGACTCACGTGGGAGCCAAAGCTGCCTGACGTGTGGTGCTGGTTGCAGAGAGGGCACGAATGCGGCTCTCCGGAGTCGCATTGCAGTGCCTGAAGGGAAACGAAGATCCATCTCTCATCAGATTTGCACATCTGGTGTCAATTCGTGCAGCCATCTTTTTCGTTCCGGCGGACCTGTGGCGACGAGTACGAGTGCCATTACCAGCACCATAATCGTCACGCGGCCGTGCAGTGGCAGGGACAATGCCAGAGTGGACATCATTTGGCAGCGGTTTTGCGTGATTCATTCATCGCTCGAGAAGATCCACAGATCTCGTAGCTGCTGGGGCCACCGCGTGTGCCTTTCTCTCGTAGTCGCGAGATAAGCTCGCAGATCTCCCGTCGATCGCCTTCTTGAAGAGGAAGCACGACAAGTTGAGGCCTTTCAGCAGCTTCCTGATGCTCTCATTGTGATGGCGAGGCGTTTCCGTGACTTTGGAATCGCTCCTTGGCTCGTGAGTGCGTGTGAGAGCCTCAACCTCACCACTCCCACGCCCATCCAGCAGAAAGCCATCCCTCTGATCCTCAAGGGCAACGACCTGATCGGGACGGCACCCACCGGCAGCGGCAAGACTGCTGCGTACTGCTTGCCCATCCTCCACCACCTCTCGGCTGACCCCTATGGCGTCTATTGCCTCGTCCTGGTGCCAGCAAGGGAGCTGGCCTTCCAAATAGCGGACCATTTCTCGGCCCTTGGGGCGCCCATGCGTGCTGTGGTCAAGGTGGTGGTGGGCGGGATGGACATGCTCACACAGAGCACTGCGCTCGCTAACAGGCCACATGTGGTACGGTGGCTGAGTGGATGGGAGGGGAGGGTGATAGTGGCGTGTATGTGTGTGTGTGTGTCAGGTTGTTGCGACGCCTGGTCGTCTGGCTGACCACCTGAAGAACCCAGAAGGGTCAGCAAAGCAGGTCTTCAAGCAACTCAAAGTGAGCCGCACACACACACACACACGTGCCTTCACCAACACACTGTATATTTCTCTGTGTGTGGATGCAGGTGTTGGTATTGGATGAGGCAGATCGGCTGCTGGCCAAGTGCTTCGAGCCAGACCTCAGTGTGGTAACCACATCACCACGAACACTGATGCGTTTGTTGCGAGTGCCCTCACGCCTGCCAGTCTGTCTGGCGTCATGGCATGTATGTCAGATCTTGGAGGCCATTTGTCCGCGCAGCCAGGGCCGGCAGACCCTCCTCTTCTCAGCCACGGTGACCGAGAGCATCAAGCAGATGCGCCACCTATTCTCAGAGGACAAAATGCCACTCGTCAACGCACACGGGGCAGATGGGGCGGACGGTGAGGGTGATGACGATGCGGCCGGGGAGGTGCCGGTGAAGCATCTGCAGCAGCGGTATGTGTTTCTGCCGTCGACCTTCTCGGTGCGGCTGGCGTACCTGCGGCACATAGTGGATGAGCAGCTGGGGGCGATGGAGAGGGAGGGCCACCCGCACGGACAGGGGATCGTGTTTGTCGCCACTTGCGAGTGAGTCAGAGAGATAGATGCAGGGAAGAGGCAGGGATAGATGGAGCGATGGATGGCTCATTTCTGCATTCTCTCTCTCTCTCTCTCTCTCTCTGTGTGTGTGTGTGTGTGTGTCTGTCTGTGTGTGTGCTTGATTGATGCATTCATTCAATGCTCTGCAGGACATGTCAGCTCTTGACGACCACTCTTGAGCATTTGGGTGTGTCGGTGACGGCGCTCCACTCACTCCAGAACCAAAGACGGCGAGTCGCCTCACTCGGTCAGCCAGCCACCCACCCCACCCAGCCCAGCCATCATGGCATGTGTATGTGTATGTGTGTGTGTATGTGCGCCTCAGGCAAGTTCCGCAGCGGCGTGTCACGGATTCTGATATCGACCGACGTCGGCAGCCGCGGCCTGGACCTTCCCAAAGTTGGCTTCATCGTCAACTTCGACCTCCCCCACCTGACCGACGCTGCCGCCACCTACCTGCACCGAGTGGGCCGCACAGCACGCGCAGGCCGCCAGGGGCTCGCCGTATCCTTCGTCACGGAGCGGCCGAGAGACGTGGCTGCCGTCCACGCCATCGAGGCCAAGATTGGGAAGCAGCTGCATGCGCATGAGACTAACGAAGATGAGGTGCTGAAGGGCCTTGGGAAGGTGTCCAAGGCGGTCAACAAGGCGCAGCTGCTGCTGAGTGAGGTGGGGTTCGATCAGAAGGTGGAGGAGAGAAAGAAGAAGCGCAAGAGAGGAGAGGGGCAGGGGCAGACGGCCAACGGTGACGACGCCGACAAGGCGAGAAGGGTGGGTAGGCAGGGAGGGGAGACGGCCTCTTGAAGATGCCGATGGATGCTTAGGCTCTCTGCATATTGTGTGTGTGAGTAATGGACTTACTGTGGATACTTCCATGAATGCTGTCCAGAGAGCCAATGACTCCTTTCCATTGCCGATCGGCGGCCGCTCGTTTGGCGGTGGTGGACTGCCGATCGGCGGCCCTCATTGCCAACCGGCGACCCCGCCGAATTTACGATGCACTTTTTGTCCCTTTGGCGGTAGCATTATGCCCCGATTCAAACAATCGGATGAGTATTAGGGCATCGAGCGTAGCAAAGGCAAGAAGGATTTCCTGATGAACAAGGACCTCCGCGTACCCAACCGCACACCACCACACCCACCCCCCTCACTCACACACGTCTGTGCGTTTGTGTGTGCGTGTATGCCTTCCTTCCTTCCTTCTTTCTTTTCCCCCTCCCCCTGTGTGTGCGTGCAGTTCTCCGTCAAATTCCGCAGCGACGACATCGATGGGGGCAGATGGCAGCGCGGCCGGAAGCGATGGCTGTTTTTCGAGCGGCACGGCAACGCCACTAGGGGGTATGGGACGCTGCAGAGCGAGTCGGGCATCGCCAAGAACAAAGTGATCCGGTACGAAAGCCACACGGGTGCATGCATTCCAATAGTACACCAACGCACCCTGCATTTCACGCGTTTGCAGGTTCTCATGGAAGTGGAAGGAGGTATGCACGCCATGGATGGAATGGTGGCATGCCATGTGCCGACCGACAGGTGCTGTTGGTGATGGTTGCGTTGTTTGTGTGGGTCACTGCAGGATTGGAAGAACTGCATCGTGTTCAAAGGGCGCCACGTACGAATGTCCATTTATCCATGCAAGGAAGGACCCAGGCGTATGTGTGCAGGTTGAGGGCAAGATGTGGGTTGAGAGCAATCAGACCGGCCGCATCTTCCGCCGTATGGGCGACTGGACCGTCACCAGAAAGGGGGAAGAGGAAGAGGTCACACACACCCACCCACTCTCTCTCTCACACGCACACGCACACTCACACACTCACAGAGACACGAACCCATGACGCATGCATGTGTGGATGTGTGCAGGTGGTGACGAAGGGCGATGACCTGATCGCGAAGGACAACGACCTCGGCTTCATCGTACGATAGAGATAGATGGCGGACAGACAGACCGATGGAAAGAAAAGTCAGGCAGGTGAGCGAGTAGGTGGGTGCGGTGCATCATCCACATATCCGCTCAGGAAGCACCGCCTGCCTGCGTTCATGTGTGTGTGTGTAGCTGGCTGTGTGTGTGTGGTGGCTGGCTGGCTGGCTGGCTGGCTGCAGCGGTCTCACAGATCGCTTAGCTAGTGCTGGAGCTCAGCAACACACACATGGAATGGAACCGACATAGAAACGGACGCACGGACGGACGGACAGAGGGATGAGGTGAAGGTGAGGGTCATGTCATGTGCAGACAGAGCATGTGCGTGTGGTGGGTGGTGCTGGGTGGGATGGGCGAGTGGATGGTGCCGACCGACCGATGCCCCTGTACGTTTGTACTTCTACACCTGCTTGTGTGGGTGGGTGTATGAGTGTATGTGTGAAAGGCAGCTGAGCCGCATTCATTCAATCATCATCGCACGATCAGCACGTTGGTGCGGTGCGTATGAACATCTGAGCGACAATCGCTCACGTATCAACATCATGAACCTGCACACACGTACCCTCTTCACTCACTCCCCCCCTCCCGCTAAGAAAAGACCGTTGCAGCAAAAACTTACTAAGAAACTGCACAGTGAGTATCGACAGGTGGGAAGACAGAGAGGAGGAAGCACACTTATTACAGACAGACCATACAGACCACTTTCCTCTCTCTATAAGCATGCTTCTCCTCACAGCCGACCGGACCAGTGGTCCTACCTAAAACCTGGCGTTTCTCTGCCCCGGCGGGTTGCCGCACGACATCCATCCATCCATCCATCCATCCATACCCGTTGCCGGCCGGAAAAAACAGCTCTACCACATACCCACCCACCCCACGGATAAACCCCCCCCCTACACGCAGCGTGCACCATGCATCCACCGATCAAAACATGTACCCGTGTGCGCACCGCACACGTCACATGTACTCGCGTGTTTTTCACGCCATGCAAATGCTCACAGACGACCGACTCGACAAGGCGACACGACGCCAAGACGCAAACCCACCCACCCGACCACCGACGGGCAGACAGCTGCCCAATACTTACAAATACACACATATACGGTACGCAGAGAGTGAGGGCGGGGAGGCATTTACACGCTCACACGGGGTTCTCCTGGGCCGCCTCCTGCGGCTCACTGAGGGCATCCGCCCTTGTGCTGCACTCACTGCCGTCATCTCTCGCCTCAGCATCGCCAGGGACGGTAGACTTGGCAGTGGACTTGGTGGGCACGGTCCGCGCATCCTCGCTCCCAGCCCCTCGCTGCACACACCCAAGAAAACACACACCACGAAAAGAAAGATGCGTTGGTTCTCTCTCCAATGGACGGATGAAGGCATCGTGCCTACCCGGAGGTTTCGCTTGAGCGTTCGGATGATGACCATCCTAGCGATGAGGGTGCTGACAAACATTGTGACGAGCAGGAGGATCGCACACAGGCTGACCAGCGGCACCGTGGCGGCTCGGTGCTCCTGCTCCTCTTCTGGAGTGCCGCTGGCGGGCAGGATGGAAGAGGCCTGCCGGAGGGACCGCCGCTTGTAGCATCCCTCCGGCGGCGACGACCTGTACGAGAGACAATCGTCGACGTCAGGCTGCACACAGCACACAACACACAGGACGGATGGATTGATGGATGGATGGCATGTGTTGCTCCCTCTCCCTCCTGACCAACGTACCGAGACAGTGTAAATAAAGTAGTAGTAGGCCACGAGCAAGACAGCTATGAAAAGGGTCGCGACGCCGAGGCATCCACACACAGTCCTCTTGCACAAGCACATGGTATGGTAATGATGACAACTTAATCAAGGGAGTTGTAGTCAATAGCAATCAGGCGGGCGTCGTGGCGGTAGTACAATATATCGCGGATGGGAGGGGTAGAGTACCGGGTGATTGCCATGCACGACACCAACACGACAGCACCCTCCGCTCTCCCCTCGACGACGAGTATCTGCCGCTCTCCGTGCGCTCTCGACAGCTCTCTCCATAGATCCAGCGCAGCAACTCGGCCTTTTCTCGTCGTCGAGTGCACAGCTGGCCCCTGCACACACAGAGGAGTAGAAGCAGAGAGGGAAATTGCGTGAGCAGCCAGTTGCGAGCTTGGATTGCGAGCTGGGATCGCGATGTGCCACTGGTCGAGGAGCGGCGAAGGAGAAGCAAAGGAGACGAACGTGTGAGCGAGCGGGCCTGACGTGCTCGAGGTGCTCGTGCCGTTGGTGGTGCGCTTGCCTCGGTCCATCGCGACAGGAGAGAGAGAGATCGTCAAGTGTTTGCTGCTGCCTGCCTGCCTGCCTGACACGAGAGTAGCTACTAGATAGAGTGTAGTATATATGATCAAGATGACCTACCCGAGCTGGGATATCGAGCAGGCCATCGAGCACTTCCCCGCCATCTGCGGCATGAAACTCTCACTCAGTCAGAGCCACACACACACTCACACTCACACTCACACACAAGCAGAGAGAGGGAGAGAGGGGGAGCCCACGGCACGTGTGTAACACTTGTGTTGTGCTGTGTGTGTGCTGGCAGCCGTGGCGGATCCCACTCTCCCCGACTGTCCTCTCATCGGCTGCTCCTCGGGATTCACAAAGCTCACGGGGTACGTCAGACACACATACGCACAGCCGTCTCCACCTGTGCCACGCATTTATCTCTCCTGCCTGCGTGTGTGGGGTTGGCTGGTTGGTGTGTCCCTCCTTCTCTCAGCTTTGACGAGTACAAGGTCATCGGCCAGAACTGCCGCTTCCTGAATGAGGGGTGTCACGTGGATGAGGTGGTTCGGAGAGAGCTGCGGAAGGCCATACACTCCAGAGGCTCGCTCTTCTGCCTCGTCCAAAACAAGAAAGCCAGTACGCAAACACACACAGGACAGTAGAGGAAGCTGCCAAAAGAGAGAAAGAAACCGCGCGTCTGTCCCTGTGTGTCTGTCCCTGTGTGTGTCTGATTGTAGATGGGTCGCGGTTCACCAACATGCTGTATCTGTCATCCTTCCACATCCCCAGCAGGGCGCAGACGTTCATGATCGGCGTGCAGAGCGACGCCACAAAGGTCGATCTGGTCGGCAACGAAAACCTCCGACTGTTCACCGAGGAAAAGGTAGGAATGCACACACCTCACCTGGGCAGGGCAGACAGACAAGAGCCGATGGATGGACACGACACACGGAATGAAGGGCTTGTGCGGTGTGGTCTACTCGTCAGATATGCGAGCTGTTCAACACGGTCGATTTGACCAACTGGGTGCTCATGAAGGCGCGGTCATTCGAAGGTACCTAAGCCATGGGCACACAGCACACACGTCATATGGCATACCGACGTCTCTCTCTCTCTCTCTCTCTCTCTCTGTCTCTCTCTCTGCGCGCGCGCGCGCGCGTGTGTGTGTGTGCAGCCATCGAGCGGATGAAGAAGACGTCTCCCGCGCTACCCCTCCGATGGCGACCGCCGCAGCCAGCGGACGACGACGAGGGCAGAAGACCACCTCCCGTAAGACAACGCAACACACATACAATACATTCTATGTGTCTCTCACACGGATCTCTGTATGTATCGTGTATCGATGCCTCCTTCAGACTCCCCGTTGGTTGGCCGAGGAGCACATCTGGCCCCTTTTCCCCGCCGCCCTCTCTCTCGACGACCCCCAGCCCCAGGCCGTCACAGCCACCGACCAAGACGAGCAGGAGCATGCCCGCGACCGCGGCCTCTCATCTGGCAGCACGGCGTCCTCCAACACCCAAAGCCACACGCAGCCGCACGACCACCGCGGTGAGGGCGGCCGGCTGCCCAGCAGCCCCGGGACCTGCACGACGTACGCCACAGCGGGCAACGGCGAGAGGGACGACGATACGCCCCCTGCCAATGGTGTGCTGCACCCCAAGGACGAGGAGGCGGCCGTGGGGACGCCCGAGATGGACGGGGTGGTGCAGCAGATGGCACAGATTAGACTACCGCCCACCGACTAGGGTGGGTGCGGTACATGTGCGGTGCATGGCACGGGGTGGGGTGGGGTGACATTTTTCCATCCCAGCCAGGTGAGGTGGGTCAGACAGACAGACAGACAGATGAGAGAGAAAACCGTATGTGAGAAATGAGAGATGAGATGAGGTGAGGGCATCGCCGCTTTTTTTCGTCAAGTGGCTGCGTTGCGTTGCGTTGCGTGATGGGATGTGATGGGATGTGCTGTGATCCGAGAGGGAGATGCAGAGGTTGCGTGTGTGGCAGTGCTTTCGCTTCCTTCCTTCCTTCCTTATTCTCTTGCCAATGAATGCCGTCCGTCATGGATTTGTTTTCCTCGCCCTTGTTTCTCGTCTCGTGTGATGGGAGTTTCCTCTGTGTGTTCGCGTGTGTGTGTGTGAGTGTATATGTACCTAACTGAGTGCGCGAATGTGACGCAGAGAGGGGGCGGGGCGGGGCGGGGCGGGCTGAGGGAGAGGCTCTGGGCTGGATGGGGTAATCGTGCAGCAACGCCGCTTCGTGTGGCGTGTGGTGTCCGATAGAGAGGAAGAGATAGGCGTGTCCGCAGATGGGATGGATGGATCGGTAAGGGAATTTTTCGTCTGTCGACCGCATTGCTATGACATAGACAGGCACAGAGAGAGAGGGAGGGCGGACGTGAGGGCGATTGTTTCACTGCCATCCGTGTGTGAGGGACAGAAGAGTCGACTTTCAACTCGCTTATTGCCTGCCTGCCTGCCTGTTGGGGCATTTCTTTCCTCGCTGATGTGATGTGGCGGGGTGGAAGAGAGTGAGTGAGCGGATGAGAGCGACGTGACTGGAGTAACTAACGACACATCGATGCATTGCAATGACCGAGTGTGATTGATGCGACCGACTTTCTCGTTTCAATTCATCATTCAGACGACACGAACGATGCAGCGCAGCCGATGCATTGCATCCTTCCACTGTCGGTGGGGTGACCTTTTCTGAATCGCTCACTCACTCACTCACTCAGTCACCTGATGCTGGCTGACAGCTGCTGTTGTGTATAAGAAGAGAGCCGGAGGGAGAGACCTGCTGCTGTATCTCTGTGTCTGTCTTCCTCCACCTCCTACCTACCTACCTACCTCTTCACGTCTTTCCCTCCCTCCGGCCGTAGGCACCTGCTGCTGCTGCTTCTTGCTTGGTGCTGCCTGCGTGGCGTGGTGTATGAATGTATGTCTGTATGTATGTCTGTGTGTGTGTCCGTCCGCATGTGCGAGTGTGAGTGTGGGTGAGCTTATGTGGTGTGAGAGCGAGTGCATGAGTGAGGTCCCGAAGGGAGAAAGGGAAGTGACAGTGGGTGATGGTGATGGTGATGTGACATACATCTGCAGCCCGCCCAGCCATCCATCCATCCATCCAGTCAGCCCCTCCACCGTGCGTGTGTGTGGTTTGGGTTCTCCATCCATCCATCCATCTATCCATCTGTAGCATCCGTCACATTTTTTGTTCCTTGCCCTTCATTGAGCCAGCTACTCCCCCACCTCACCATGGTGCGTGTGTGTGTGCGTGCAGTGTGATCGCTCTCTGAAGCGCACCCATCGTATGAATGGAGAGGCAGGCCTCTCAGGCATACCACCACCACCACCACCAAAACCACACGGACACACACACACACACACACACGCACCCAATTGGATGCGGGAGTGAGTGAGTGGTTGAGTGCTGGTGGGAGGGGCGAGTGTTATGTCCAGCCATCGCACCACATTGTTTGAACGAATGGGTTGCGTGGCGTGGCGTGGCGTGGGGTGCTATGGGGGAGGGTGGGGTGGGTGGGGCGGGCAGAGAAATAAGATGCGATGTCGTGTGCCATGTGTGCGTGTGTGTTGGGGAGAGAGAGCTATTTGTTTGTTCGCATGCAGTCTGTCTGTCTGTTGACTGACTGAGGGGATAGAGAGTATTCGGCAGCGGCTCAGCGTGGGGGCGAGAGCGTGAGTGTGTGAGAGTGAGCTGAGATGTGAGAGTGAGCTTCCAGTAGATGAGTGATGACCACAAAGGCCCTGCTGCCGCCCCCGGTCTTTTCTCACCACCGTAAGTTTTGCTCCAACGCTGGATGGGCCCTTCACACACGTGCATCTGTCTGTGTGTGTGTTTTGGGTACATGTGAGAGCTGCCTTGGGGGGGTGACAACGAGAGGCTGCTGTGTGGTGTGCAAGTGGACCGACTGGACAGTGATAATGCTCGCGATGGACCTTGATTGAAGCAGACGTCATGTGGTGCGAGAATCTATCCTTTGTTCGTTCGCATCATCATCATCATCACTCTGGACATAACACTCATTCATGTAGCCAATCCCACTAGCAATGCCGTGTGTCCCTTTCCCCCTCCCTCCCCCTCCCTCCCCCTCTCCCTCCCTCCCTTTCCCTCCCTCCCTCTCTCTCTCTGTCTATCGACAGCAGACATGCGCTGTGACCATCCTCTGACACTTGTCTATCTGGCCCTTCAAAGCCCGCAGCAGCTCACCCCCAGCGACCCTCTGGGAAGAACAGGGGCCCGCGTCACTACCGCTACTACCACCACTGCCACTGCCACTGCCCATCGCACTGCTGCTGCTGCCCCTGCTATACGACTTGCCGGGCCCATAGAGTTTGTCGAGGTTGGCCTGCAGGAATGCGTACGACTCCTCGAGACACTCCATCACTGCCGGCACACTGCTCGCGTCAGACAGCATATCCAGCAACACCAGCAGCTGGTCTTTCGCCGCCGACATCTCCTCCCGACCCCCACCCTCATCCTCATCTCGCGTGTCGTTTGGCAGCGGCTCCGGCTCGTCCTCATCTGGTGACCCTCCAGCTCCATTGGTGCTGCCGTTGGTCCCCACCACGCCCGCCGCCCCTCCATTGCTGCTGCTGGCAGGCAGCGCTTCGTCGTTCATGCTGTGTGAGCGTGATGCGTGTGCGCTGGCGATGTCGCTCATCTGCAGGGCAAACGGGATGGGGACCGCAGAGGGCGACGGGGCCGATGGGTGCACAGCAGCAGCAGCAGCACTGGCTGCAGAGGCGGATGGCTGTGAGGCTGGAGAGGGTGTGTTGGTGTCATCCTCCTCCTCTGTGCGGGGAGGGGCCGATGGCCTCACTGGCGCATTGGTCGGCGTGTGGAAGTCCGGCTCGTCGAGAGAGAGGGGGAGGAAAGGTGCCTGGCCGCTGTTCATGTCGCGAGTCATGATGCGGTCCTCCTCCCGCCCCTGTGGCCGCTGCACCGTGCGCGATGGAACGGGCCGCCTGTCGTTGCGGTGGGCGGGGGCCTTGGGTGAGGGGGGCGATCGTGGGCGATTGGGGGTCAGCTGGGGGTACCGGCCGCTATAGGGCATGTGGGGTATGAAAGTCGTTGAGAAGAAGGTCCCAGGGCCGGGGGTGCCCTCCTGCAGACAGACACCACACAGACAGACAGACAGACGTGAATGCATGGATAGCTGTGTGGCATAGATAGGCTCACTGTACTGGACTGACCATCATAGGCCGGTCAAGCCTTGCATGTGGGTGTGGCGGCCGCCACATCTGCTCCCCCGTTGCGGCGGCGTTAGCGTTGGCATGGGGGCGAGGGCGGGTTGGCGGGGGAGGGGGGGCCGCGGGAGGGGGGGACCTCATGCGCATGCGTGCCTCTGCCCTGCTGCGCGCCTCTGGGTCGATGATGGCCGGCTGCTGGCGTGTACGCTGGCCCACCAGGAGAGAGAGCATGGTGCGGCGGTCCTGCTGACGGGCGGCCATGTCGATGAGGCCGCCCTCCTGGTGAATGGACACCGAGAAACCCACATGTGTGCTGTTGTGATCTCCCTCCCTCTCTCTCTCTCTGTGTGTCTGTGAGGGTGGCGGACTCACCGATGGGTCGGCCTCTCTGACGTCTTTGCGGCACAGTGGGCATGAGAGGGAGCGCTCGAACCACTTGTCGAGGCATTGTTGGTGGAATTTGTGCTTGCAGAGGGTGATGCGCCGAATGAGATCGAAATGCAGGAACGGCTCAAAGCAAATCGAACACACCTGCATTGCATTGCATCAATGACCACAAATACACAACAGACACAACAGCCAGGTGAACACACGACACGCTAGAGAGCCTGGCCGCGTCACGTGACTTACCTGGTCCTGGTCTGTCTTTTTGTCGTTGCCAATGGTGCTGCTCGCCTGCTGGTCGCTCCGTCCCTCGTCGCTCGAGTCCCTGCCCCTCTTGCTGCTGCTGCTGCTGTCGCCATCCGCCCCCGCCCGTCGCCTCTCTATCTCCTCCCTCCCATATACCTCCACCACTGTGAACTTCCGGAGCATTCTATGAGACACACAAAAACACACGAACACACACACACACACACGCATCCATCCATCCATCCATCCACATGTGTGTGTTGGTGGGAGGTGTGTCAAGTCGGTGCTGACTTAAGGAGGGCGGATCCGTGTGTGTCGAAGTCATCGATGAGAGAGGCGCGAAACCGCTCGTGCCTCTGCCTGCGTCTGCGAGCCGGCCCCAACACACGCTCGGCTTCGATTATCGCCTCACCTGACCACCACACCATGCCGACAGACAGGCAGGCAGGCACACATGGCGAGGTGGCAGGTGGCGTGGCGAATGTGTGTCGAGTGTACATACCGCGGCTGGAGGGGTCGCCGACCCACCGCACGGCCACGCGCATGCCGTCGGGGGTCAGGATGCTGCTGTCGTCATTGTGGTTGGTGCCACCCGCACGGCCCTCACGATCTATCTCCTGCACGACAGACAGACACGACATTTGTGTGTGGTATGGAGAGATGGATCGGCTGTTGTGCTTTGCCATGCCACCGACTGACTCACCAGGAGGACCATGAGCGGCTCCGTCCTCCCACTCTCCCGGTGCTCCAGCCATCTGTCCAGGCTGCCACTATGCCCCGCACGATCACCATCACCCTCCTGAAGCACCGCCTGGGCCCAATCCTGCGAAGCGGAAACAGCACACAGCACACAACAAATACGTGGCGGCTACAATCACTCCCACCATGCGCTAATGGCACCCACCTGCAGCGAATGTCCCTGAGAATGCCACCATGTTATCTGTTCCGAGTTGTATCGGTGCAGCAGCGTCTCGATGGCCCAATCGGGGGACCTCTCGTGATTAGGATCGCTCCTCGAGAGCAGCGACCGCAGGACCGTCAGATGTCTGTCTGCCGGCTGGTCGGTGCCGCCACCGAGTGCACTATGCCGCTGAAGAGATATACAAAGGAAAACACACAGACGATCGAGTGCGTGTCCGTGTCCGTATGTCTGTCCATCCGCCCAGGCCTGTGTGTGCGTGGCATGTGTGCATTCATTCGGACGTACCCCCGTCACAAACTGAGGAAGAAGCTCGTTGAAGGGCAGCATCGACAGAAACCGCTGGCCAAGCCCACCACCACCACCACCACCACCAGTACCACCAGTAACCGGCACGGGCTCGTCAATGGCCCTCCGCCGGGCGGCCCTCGGCCCCTGCCCCCCCACCTCCCTCTCCTCCCTCCCGCCTCCTCCTTCAGCCATCCGTGCGAAAGAGGGGGCGAAGGCAGGCAGCAGCGCATATACCTCGTCCAGTTCCTCATCCACTGGCGGGCTCGAGGGACGCCCACCATTCTCTGAGGGATGACTGCCGCGGGGTGCGTTGGTGGAGCCGCCAAATGCGTCCCAGAACCATCGGGTGCGGCGCTCGGGTGAGGTGCGACTGGCCGTGTGTGTGGCCCCCGATGGCTGTGGTCGGTCTGCGTAAGAGGACGAAAGGCGGGGCGGCTCGTGTGATGAGGACGAGGGCTGAGGGCCGTTCAGTGACAGGTCATGCGGTCTGCCCGCCATCAGCCAGAGCCCGGGAAGAGATCTTCGTCTCTATTTGGCCTGGTCGTGTGTCGGTTGGCAGATGAATGGTCGTCCTACTGCTCGTGGCGACGGTAATAGGGGAGGCCGCCCGTCGATGTGGCCCGTGCTGTCCTCTTCAGAATGATGAAATGAATTCGGTTGAAGCTCCACTTATCGCTCCACTCATAGAGGAAGAGTGGTGTGTTGTTGAGTAGAGGGCTCCAGTGCGATGGGTAGGTGAGTGGGAGGGATCCGAGTCCTGACGCGATCCTTACTCAGGCTCGCGTTTCCCTTCCTGCGAAAAAAGACCCAAGCGCAAGGCCCTGTCGACCAGGGCATCCCTGTGAGAGATCCTTCTGCCCGCTTCGATTTGAGCGAAGAAACAAGCATCAACACGACACGACGATGGAACCTGCACCCATCCTCTGGCTGACGTTCTCGCTGGTGTTGACGCTGCTCTGGGAGGCTGGCTGCATCCTTCTCATCATCCTTTGGTTCCTGGCCGCCGAACTCATCACCCTGCTCGCCACCATCTCCCTGGCGCTCTCCGTCCATGTCGGCCAGGTCGGCGCGGCTGCGGTCCCTCTGGCCTGGTGGCTGGTAGCCGAGACCGCCAGTCAGCTCTGGGGCATTGCTGCAAGTGCGGCAGGGGGGATATCGGCTTTGCCACCCGTGGCAAGGGATGTGGCCACCGTCAGCATCGCCATGAGCGGCGCCCTGGCTGTCGGCTGGGTGGTGCAACACTTCATGGATTGCGAGCAGCAGCAGGCCCTGTCCGCCACACAAGCAGGCTTTGCAGACACGGGAGGAGAGGAGGAGTACTGTAAGCCAAGCCCACCGACACAGACACAGACACAGACACAGACGCAGACACGGAAAGGGGGGAAGCTCATCGATCTCCTCAACATCATGATGTTGTGTGTTGTTGTGCATTGACCACATGAATGTCGGTGTAGGCCGGATATGTGCCACGCCTCTCGAGGAGAGGCGCCGCCAGGGAGGAGGCTTGGTGCAGTACCCATGCTGCGTGACGACAGTGTGCCGCCCCTGCTACAAGGCTGGCCACCTCCACCTCTTGTCCTCCGCAACGTCGACCTGGAGGAGGTGGACAAGAAGGCCCACATCATGGAGCGCATGGCCACTTTTGGCCACCAAATCCGCTGTGCTCGCCGCACATGCACCTACTGACTGCGA